AAGAATTAGAAGAATTTTACATTTGCAGTCTGAAATTGATCAAACATTCAACCAAGATGCAGCCAACGCATCTATAATCACTGGTAATTGGACAGTGAAAGTTGGAAACAAAGAAGAAGGATAAATAGCTGGAAAGCATGGTCTTGGTAAAAGAAATAATGCAGAAGAGTGCATGATAGAATTTTGCAAGACTAAATGACTTATTCATTGTAAATACTTTGTCAACAGCATAGAATGTGGACCTCATCAGGTAGAATATGCAGTAGTCAAATTTATTCCTTCTGTGGAAAGAAATATGGAGAAGCTCAATCTCAACAGTCAGAACAAAGCCAAGAGCCTACTATAGAATAAACCACCAATTGCTCCTGTACACATTCAAGTTGAAGGTGAAGAAAATTAGAACAAGTCTATGGGGGCCAAATTATGAGCTTGAGTGCCCCTCTTGAATTTAGAGACCATCTGAAGAACAGATGTGACACACTGACCTCGAATGAGCAAAAACCAGAAGAGCTGTGGGGTGGTGTCAAGGACATCATACATCAAAAGGTCACTAGAAAGTCAGCAAAGAAAGAAAAGCTCAAAATGAATGTTAGAAGGGACTCTGAAACTTGCTCTTGAACATAGAATAGCTAAAACAAAAGAAAGAAATGAAGTAAAAGAGCGAAAGGGAAAATTTCAAAGGGCAGCTTGAGACAACACAGTATTATAATGAAATGTGCAAAGACCTTAAGTTAGAAAATCAAAGGGGGATAAAGCTCTCAGCATTTTGCCAGCTGAAAGAACTGAAGAAAAAATGCAGGCCTCGAGCTGCAATGTTGAAGGATTCTATAAGCAAGACCGAATGGCGCAGAAAGCATCAAAGAAGATGCGAAGAATAGAGAGAGCCACTGTACCAAAAGGAAACAGATGGTGCTCAACCATTTCAAATGTTAGTATGATATCAGGAACTGCTGGTACTGAAGGAAGAAGTCCAAACTACACTTAAGTCATTCGTTTAAAAAAAAAAAAGATCCCAGGAATTGACAGACGATTGAAATGTTTCCGCATTTGTATGCAGTGTTGCTGGTGCTCACTGCTCTGTGCCAGATATCAGCATGTGGAGTTTATTGAACAATGTCGATATCTCATACTGGTAGAATTTTGCTGTTGATAATTTAAAAGGAAAAAGCCAGTTGCAATAGTGCTTCAACAGGAAACAGCTGGAAATTTAAGCCAGATTATTCAGAAAGGACAGGGAACTGGACATATTGCTGACATCAGATGGATTGGGGCTGAAAGTAGAGAATACCGGAAAGATGTTTATCTGAATTTTATTGATTATACAAGAGTTCTCAATTCTATGGATTATACCAAATTATAAAAAATGTAGCAAAGAGTGTGAATTCCAGAACACTTTATTGTAAGCATGCAGAACCTGTACACAGGCCAAGGAGCCTGCATTCAAACGAAGAGGATGCTCTGTGGTTTACAATCAGGAAAAATATGTATGGAGACTCTAGTCTTTCAGCCCTAGTTATTTTATCTGTATGCAGAGCAGATAATCCTATAAGCTGATTAACGTGAAGAAGAGATGACATCATGATTGGAGGAGGACTGACATATGCAGATAGCACAATTGTTGAAAATAAAGAGAACTTGAAGCACTTACTGATGAAAGCCAAATAATACAGCCTTCTAGGTGGATTACATCTCAGTAGGAAGAAAACAAGTTCTCAAAGCAGGACCAGTAAGCAACATCGTGATGTGGATAGATGCTTTCTCAAAAAGTTCCTTTTACTTGGATCCATAATCAGCTCCCATGGAAGTTAGTAGTCAAGAAATCTTATTACAATGGTCAAAGCTACTGCACAAGACCTCTTTAAATTACTAAAGAAAACATGTAACGTTGATGACTAAGGTGCTCCTGACGCAAGTCATGGTATATGCTATACCCTCATATATATGGGAAAGCTGGACAGTGGACCAGGAGGACTGGGGAAGAAGTGATGCCTTTGAATTGTGGTGTTGGCAAAGAAATTTGAGTGTGCCATGTGTCCCTGTGGGTTATAGCTGACTCGGTGGCACCTAACAACAACATGGGTACCAGAACCAACAGATCTGTCTTGGCAGAAGTACAGCTGGAATCCTCTTTAGAAGCAAGGATTCCGTGCTCTCTGGATACGACATAAGGAGGGACCAATCTCTGAAGAAAGACAATATGTTTAGTAAAGTAGAAGGTCAACAAAAGAAGAAGATGACCTTCAACAAGATGGATTGGTACAGTGGTTGCCACAGCGGGTTCAAGCATAGACAGGCTGTGAAGATGGAGCGTGCCTGGTTGTTTTTCTCTATGTACACAATATCTCTGAATCAGTGAGCTCTTAAGACACCTAATAGCAAGAAGCCTGCAGAAGAAGCTTATACCTTCCAATAACTATTGATAACCAATATGTATTTAGGGAGCCCTGGTGGGAAGGCCTTCAATGTGATAGGTTGACACCGTGGCTGCACCAATGGGCTCAGGCATTGGAACAATTGGGAGGCTGGCGCAGGACTGTGCCTAGTGTTTCATTCTTTTTTGTTTAGGGTGCTGTGGCTTGGAACCGACTCCATGGCACCTGGGCATATAATAATAATAAGTATTTGATTGTTAGTAATAAATGACCATCTATATTTGCTACTTGCCGAGCGATTTACATGTTTTATTGTATTGAATCCTCAAAACCATCCCGTAGGGTACATGCTAATGTTGTCACCATTTTATAGAACAGGAAGTCAAGGCTAACCCTGACCAAGCGACCTCCCTAAGGTCATATAAATTGTAAGCTAGTGAGTAGCCAGTAATCTAGCACAGCTAGTAAGCACTGGAGCTCAAATGCAATCCAAGCCATTACCTGTGTCCACAGTGGGTGATAGATAGTATCACTACAAAGTGACTGTCCTTTAGACACAGGGTCTGTCTCTTAAAATTGGAGAAGACAACGGACATTTCCCTCTCCATTTTGTGTTGAGTCTGCATTCCACATCAGTGTCTTTCTCTCTCGCTCTAGGCGGATGATCGCCCTGTTTGTGCATGGGCGTTCTTCGTGTCATGGATGCAGCACATCTTCACAGCATCCCCTGTGCATTGCATTTTACTTGTTCTTGTTTCTCTTTGAAAACTGGTTGTTTTCTTGGCCTTGTCTCATGAAAGGAAATTCGATTTTGTTTGCAGCTCCTTCGGGAGCGGTGTGTATTAGCACGGTGGGTGCCACAATGGTCTCAAATACGACAGTGATTCTGAGACAGCACAGCTCCAGGCAGGGTTTTGACCTCTTTCCCTAGGGTTCCCCTGAGTTGGAGTTGACTCGGTGGCAGTGGGTTTTGTTTGGGGAGAGGGTTCTAGTGTAGAATTTTAGTATTCGTGCGGAATTTATGAATGAGATAAGTCGGGTGGAGACTGATGAAACCTACCAGACTGTGGCCCTGGGAAGCCCTTCAAGCCTGGGGCTGAACCGAGCCTGGGAACCAACTTTCAGCCAAACAATGGGCCTCTCATTACCATTGAGTTGATGCCGACTCATAGTGACACTATAGGACAGGGTAGAGCTGCCCAGTGAGTTTCTGAGACCATAACGGTGTATGTGAGTAGAAAGCCCCGGCTTCCCTCAAAGTGGCTGGTGGTTTCAAACTGCTGGCCTTGCAATTAGCAGCCCAATGCGTAACCAGTATGCCGCCAGGGCTCCTCTGAAGTGAATAACAACACCAGGGAGGAATGAACCCCGCAGTCCAATCAACCACACTAGACCAAAGGACAGCCGACGTCCAGAAACAAAGGTTAGAAGACCAGGAGTAGGACAGAGGGGGTGTATGGAGACAGGCAGCCTGGGACCGAAGCTGCAAGAGTGCTGTTGGTGGAGAGGTCTGCAACTAATGTCAGGAAACAGGATTTGTCCCATAGGAAACTCATTTGCTCCATAAACTTTCACCTAATTACAATAACAAGTCAAAAACCCCGCCCCAGAAAAGGAAAAAAAAATCTGTTGATCAGTTTCTTTGGGAAGGTGCCTCCTTCCAGCTCCTTGGGAACTACGCAGATGGACAGTTAGCTACAGGGTGAGCCTAGACAGAACAGAACTTTTCGCACAGACTGATTACCATTATTAGAAGATGAATACCTAACGATTAACACGAGTCTATTTGCCATTTAAATGACAGTATGAATTGTTTCTTTCAGGAGGTGATCCGTGCCTGCGCTGCAAAGGTAGGCAACACATCAAGTTTCCAGCATAGTCTGGGTTGTGTCTCACCAAGGAAACGATTGCACCAGCCGGGGGTTTAATGGAACCTGAAGAGAAAGGAACCTGGTGTGTGCTGTCCTTCTCGGAGTTCACATTTATCAAGCTGCTCTCTGCAGTGAAACCTGCGTAAGGCAGAAAACTGTCTTGAGCAGGAACACTCAAAGCTGCCCAGCTTACAGAGATCGGTGGAAAAGTGGTAAAACTTCTTGCTGCCTGACAAAGAAAACTTGGGAGACCATGAAACACAAACCAGTCCCGTTGAGTACCATCTGTGTCAGGTTTTATATTGTGATCATGAATTCTGAAAGGCAGTAAGGGTATATATTTAGCAAGTAGATTTGTATTTTTAAAGATTTAGCAGCACTGCATCTCTTCTGTGATGTGTTTTTGTTAAAGGACTAGCCAGGCCACTTGATTTTCAGGGGGAAATTTTATGTGATACTTAATACATGTGAGAGACCCCACTCCTGTGCCAGAGGGTGTGTGCTGAGGAAATTGTGTAAACATTGCACACATGCAAGCTGTGTACTGATAGTAATAATATATTGTGGTGTTGATGCTCTTGATAATTTAGAAATGCCTTTCACTCTTCTTATCTCATTTAACTAGATGGACAGCAATCCAGAGAGACAGATGTAATATTATTGTCATCTAGGTTTAGAATGGCGATGACTGAGGTTTGGTGAGGTTAAGTGATTTACTACCTAAGTTCCCAACGTTAATCTAATAATATTAGCAAGGTATACAGAAAGATGCTTGCAAGGGTGGCAAGGTCCCTCTCTTTAAAATCAGAGTCATTTTGTATGCCACTTTTAAGCCCTGTTGGGATTGCAAAGAAAGTAAATTTTAATATAAAAGAGTTGGAATGGCACCTTTTAGTTCTTGCCCTTTTCTCTCTTCTCCCAAAATTTAGTTTAATAATGAGACATAACATTCATTCACCACGTATTTATGGAGATCCAGAAACCACTCTCTGGCTAATAAACTGAAGGAAATTCATGTCCCTCAAGGAATTTCAGCTTAGTTGAAAGACATTCTTTGCACATAACAGATACTCTGAATTTCTTCGAAGAAATAATTGTGCAAATAATCACTTAAATTATAGTTATGTGCACCATAAAGCAGAAAAGGGAGACATTTAGAATGAAAAGAACTGCACTGTTAGTGTCTACAAAGACTATTTCATAGAATGTCAGTGTAGTGGGAAATACTTCATTTCATTCGGTAGGCCCCTGCTTCCATGTGTCAGGCATTGAGAATACAGAAGTAAGTAGACTATTGTCTATTTCCTCACGGGGCATCTTACAGGAGGAAACATGCCAAAAACACTGGGCTTACCCCATCACTGAGCTGTCCAGTATCAGTCAGGACCCATCACTTTTTTTACCTAATTATCACAAGTGAGCAGGATATGGAATATAGACAAGGGGAAGGAAGACGGGGCCAAAAAGAGAACAAGCTGTGTTCTGACTGGGGCTGCAGATGTTCAGGAAACTTGTTCCTGATAGCAATGATTGGTGTAATGATTGTAGCTCCAAGATTACTAAATCTTCTGCACTCTGCTTAGTGTATAAAACTGGAGGCGAGAAATTAGATTATTCTCTGGTTGGCAATTCAGAACCACTTCTCTTTATTTTAACAAGTGTGCTGCATACGATCCTTTTGCAATGGCGGCTGACTGTACAAAGAATAAAAGGTTTCACATGTTGGAAGGGCTTTCTGGAGAAGGCCCGCCAGTAAGTACATGCCTAAATCCCCTGGACCTAACAAATACTGAATGCTTGCCTCAAAGATGGCTGCATGTGTGGAAATTAATCTAGATCTTGAATGATTAATATTCTCAGTATCTTTATGTTTTTAATCAAATAATAATTACTCACATACCATAACGTTCGCCATTTGAAATGTAAAAGTCAGTGGTTTTTAGTGAAGCTGTGCACCTATCACCAAATTCAATTTGGGAACATTGTTCCTCCCCCTCAAAAAGAAAAAAATCCCATACTGGCTAGCCGTCATTTTCCATTCTTTTTTGCCTTTTTACACCAAACTTTCCTCCCACATCTACCACCCAACTCCTGAGTACTACTAAATATGCTTTCTACCTAGTCTGGATATATCAGAGGTGTAGAATCCTATAATATTATCAATCTAGATCTTGAATGATTAATATTCTCAGAATAACAACTATTTTGCCCTTTAGAGTTAGTCATTTTTACATTGTTTTTCAGCCTAGAATAAAGTTTCTCCTTCCATGCAGTAGCACATCTATCAGTACTACTCTTTATTGATGGATCATATTCTATGTTATCCATCGATATGGTTTTTAATATTTATTCATTCATCATTTGATAGGCATTTGGGTAATTTTCATTAGCTATTAAGAATAATGCTTTGGGCATTCTTGTACAGCTTTAGTATGGACATAGATTTACATTTCTCGCGAGGTTTGTTCTGAGAGTAGAACTCCTGGGTCATAAGGAAACCCTGTGGTTGGCATTTGAGGGCGTGCCCATGCTTCAGAAGTGGGTGCACCGTTTTATAATTCCAGCAGCAATCCAAAAGAGTTCTAATTCTCCACATCCTAGCAACACTTGTTCCTTCTTTGAATCCAGGCCAACTTTTAGTGCTGTTAAAGTCTCACTCATGTTTTATTAACTTCTTTAAACATGTATGAAGTGTCTACAGTTGTTTTTCTGTATATCTTGGGATATAACAGTGAATGAGAACATTTTGCTGTAGGGATACCAACAAGTAGTAGCAAAGCAAGATAATTTCAGCTAATAAATTATATAAAGAAAATAAAATAGTCCTACGCAACAAGGACCACTAGTTGTGTATCAGTTTGTTTTACAGAGGTGGCTTGTGTTAGGAACCAAAAAGGAAAAATACACTCAGCAAATCTTAAACTGAAAAAAACTAAAGAAAAACTCAAGCCTCGAGATGCAACATTGAATGATTCTATGGGCAAAATACTGAATGATGCGGGAAGCATCCAAAGAAAATGTAAAAAATACACAGTCACTCACTGTACCAAAAGAACTAGTCGATATTCGACCATTTTAAGAGGTAGCCGATGATCATGAACCAGTGGTGCTGAATGAAGAAGTCCAAGCTGCACTAAAAGCAGTAGCCAAAAACAAGGGTCCAGGAATTGTTGGAATGCTAATTGAAATGTTTCACAAGCTGATGAAGCAATGGAAGGAAGAAATTTTCAAGATACCTCCTTGGCCAACTGACTGGAAGAGATCTGTGTTTGTACTCATTACAGAGAAAGGTGGCCCAACAGAACACTCCATTTAATAGAACAATGTCATTAATCTCATGTGCAAGTTAAGTTTTGCTGAAGATCATTCAACAATGGTTGCACTAGTACATGACAGGGAGCTGCCAGAGGTGCAGCCAGACTAAGAACAGGATATGGAACAAGGGCTATCATTCCTGACGTCAGATGGATCTTCGATACCAGAAAGATAGTTACTTGTGAATTATTGACTACACAAAAGGCATCCGACTGTGTGTGGACCCTAACAAACTATGGCAGCCTTGAGAAGAATGGGAATTCCAGAAAGCTTGGCGTGCTCGTGCTGAACCAGTACATGGATTAACAGGCAGTTGTGCAAACAGAACAAGAGAATACTGCCTGATTTAAAATCAGGAAAGGAGTGTGCCAGGGCTGTATCTTCTCACCATACTTACTCCATCTCTTTACTGAGAAAATAATTATAGAAGCTGGATTATATGGAGAAAAGCAAGCCCTCAGGATTGGAGGAGCGGTTGTTAACAACCCGCAATATGCACATGACACTGCTTTGCTGCTGATGAAGATCAACGATGGCAGCCTTCAGTATGGAAGTAAAGAAGAGGGAAACACTCACCACTGGACCAATATGTAACAAAATAAATGGAGAAAAGATTGAAGTTGCCAGGGATTGCATCTTACTTAGCCGCACAGTCAGTGCTCATGGAATTCCCGTCAGGACATCAAAACAATGCATGGCATTGGGTACTGTACTGCACAAGACCTCTTTACAGTGTGGAAAGACAGTGCTGTTACTTTGGGGGGTAATGTGCTCCTGACGGAAGCCATGGTATTTTCAAATGTCTAAGATGCATGTGAAAGTTAGACATTGCATTAGGAAGAGCAAAGAAGAATCAGCGCATTTGATTATGTTGCTTGCAAAGAATACTTAAAGTGCCATGAACTGCCAAAAGAACAAACAAGTCTGTCCTGGAAGAAGTGCAGCTAGAATGCTTCTTAGAAATACAGACGGCAAGACTTCATCTATCGTACTTTAGCTAGGTTATCAAGAAAGGTCAGTCCCCGGAGAAGGATATGCCTGGTAGAGTAGAGGGCAAAGGAAAAGAAGAAGGTCCTTGATAAGATGGATTGACTCAGTGGCTGCAGCAGTGGGCAAGAACAGAAGAACAGTTGTGAGCATGGCACGCAACTGGGTGGTGTTTTATTTTGTTGTACTTAGGGCACATAGCAACAACAACAACGTGAAAAAGGAAGCCTTCGCTCAGGGTGATCAGCAAAGGCTTTTCTGAGATAAACACTGTAGAGCAGCAGTTCTCAACCTGTGGGTCGCAACCCCTTTGGGGGTCAAACAACTCTTTCACAGGGGTCGCCTAAGACCATTGAAAAAGACGTATTTCCTATGGTCTTAGGAACCGAGACACCGCTCCTCTATCCGTCTCCAGGCGGGTCTGCCCACATGCAGGTACGCCCACCTATGAGTCTCCGGAGTGAAGACTGTTACCCATGCTACGCCATGCTTCAAGACAAAATTTTATATATTTGTCATTAGAAATAATTATTTTACAATATATAGTTGCATATTGTTTTGTGATGAATCACTGTGCTTTAATTATGTTCAATTTGTAACAATGAAAATACATCCTGCATATCAGATATTTACATGACGATTCATAACAGTAGCAAAATGACAGTGATGAAGTAGCCACGAAAATAATTCTATGGTTGGGGGTCACCGTCACATGAGGAAGTGTATTAAAGGGTCACGGCATTAGGAAGGTTGGGAACCACTGCTTTAGAGGGAGTCTTTTGTGTTCTAGAAAAGTCCTCATTAAATAATAAAACTAGCAAGAGCAGGGAAAAAAAGACTACTTAAATAGTATAGGGAGCAAATGAAAATATAGTGCTTCTTGACTAGGCTGGATAGATGATCAGGGAACAAATCATGCCAGGCTTTATAAAGGGTCTTGTAGCTGTGATAAGAAATTAAGGCTTGGACATTAACTGTGGGTGATAAGCCATCAGAGATGTTAAGCAAGGGAGACTCTTAGGATGGCTTGAAAAGGAATCCGAAGACTCCATGCAGAGAGGGTGGTTAGGAACCGAACGGAACAGCAGGAAGGGTAGCAGCTTAGGACAGTGGTAGTGAAGACGCATGGAATGGACATATTTAGGAAGTATTTTAGAAGTAGAGCCATAAGGACATGGTGATGATGGATATGATAGATGTGAAGGAAAGGAGGAATTAAAAATATCTTCTTTTTATTCCCCAGCAATTCTATGGAAGGTGATGTGCTGTTTAATGAAATCAAGCCTTCTAGAGTACAGGAAGCCAGTTTTTAATTGATGGAACTTTAATATGAGTATGGCTGTTAGACATACGTAATTGGAAATGCGAATCATTAGTTGGGGGTGGAGTGAAGGCTAAACATGGAGATCACATTGTATTAAGCTGCCATGTTGGTTCACATCCTAAGGGAGACCCTATAGCTAAATCCCTCTGGTCCTGGTCCAGGGGAGGTCAGGGCAGCTTAGTCTGTTTGAAGAAGGAGGGGTTGTAAACCCTGTCTCATACGTTCAGAGAGTAAATGTGATGAAGACAGAGTTCTTCATTACGTTTGACAAGGTGGTTGATCTGGGTTACTATGATACGAGCTTTTTCATTATGTGGTAAAGACCAACGCACAATTGTAGGGTTGAAGGAGGAATGGGAATCTTAGAAAGTCAGACCTACAAATATTGGTTATTGTCAACAAAATTTTGCTGTCAATGACGAGCTGAGAAATAGAATTGGAGCTGGAGAGGAATATTAGATGGGAATCATGAAAGCATGTTTGCTGGTGGAAGTAATTTGGTGGTGATGGAAAAGCTAATAATATGGTGCAAAGGTGGTAGTTACTGAAATCGAGTTCTTGAAGAACGTAAGAAGGGAGGTAATCCTGAATAGTGGAGATACTGGCCTTAAGGACATCTTCATCCCTTCTAGTAAGTGAAGTAGTCAGATACCATAGGGAAATAGAGACTTGATAGGAAGATGAAAGAGTTATTTCCAGCAAAAAGAAAATAATTAACATAGAAGACATCCTATGTTCTATTGCTGTCTTTACTATCCAATCTATCCACCATGTCCTTATGACTGCGCTTCTAAAAGGAGCCCAAATCTGTCCGTTCTCTGCATCTTTACTGCTACCCTAGCCTGCCACATCCTCTTCCTGTCATTAGTATCAGGGTCCTAACTAATCTTTTCGCTTGAAGGTTTCTGATTCCTTTCAGAGCCATTTATTCTCATTTGATGATAGGAAGATGATCATTTCCAAGATAATAAGTGGTTTTGGAAGCCTTGCATTGCCCTGAATTGTAATCGCCCTAGAATGCCTAAATAAGAACTTATTTCAACTCACTGCCATTGGGGTGATTCTGACTCATGGGACGCTCTGAGGTAGGTCAGACCTGCCCCTGTGGGTTTCTGAGATTGTAACT